CCGCCTGCGGCGGGCAAATCCAAACCTTGCCCTTCGTGTGATTGTACACCATGATGTTCAGCCAATCTTCACTTCCCACGTGTACTGCATCTGCAACGACACAGAGTATGTCCGTCGAGTTGAATTCGTTCTTGCCGTCCTGCAGGTAGCCATAGCGCTCCATGCGTGTAAGCCGGTGTGCATCTTTGGATGCTCTTCTATTGTTGCCCTTCGGGTCGTCCACCGTGCTGTCCTGCAGAGTCAAGTTGTGGCCCTGCAAAGCGGAAACCAAAGTCCGACGTGAACTGCTCGCCGAAAGTGCCATTTGCTCTTTAAAACTGTGGGAACTCCGACGATATCCTGCTGTGCTCCTGCCATGGCACAAGAATACTAGAGTAACTATGTAAGAATAATTATTTTCTTCACTCCTCCTTGATTTACTTACTACTTCCCGACAAAACCCAAAACTGGAAAGGTCTCCTGAGCTGCATGATCTGCTTGAGATTCAAGGATGTCCAGCACGAGTGTGTCCTGTCCGACGTTTCCACAGCTTCTGCCAAGGTCTCCAACATAAAACTCCGCAACTTGAGACAGGCACCAGTTCGCTTCACAGAGAGTGTCCTTTTGGCAATGTCCACCATTAGATCGTCCATGATGTCCAGGAATCTACAGCGTGTAGGGCTCAGTGTGTTCACCAGATGCGGACAATGCTGGATCAGCTCCTTGACATCCAAAGCACCCTGTCGAAATCTGAGTCCAAGTCTGTTGTCCTCCCAAGGAAAATACGATGTGTGGTCCTCGAGGAACTGCGAGACAAAAGCTTCCAACAGGCTCCGTGCGACAGTGGAGACTGTCTTCGTGTCCTTGTTCCACTTGCTGTCCTTCCGCATGCTGTGTTGCCAGTGAAACAGAAGCACCAAGGTGGCAAACGTCGAGGTAGCAAACTCCGAAACACGTTTCGAGCCAGCTTGTCCATCTGCCTGTACTTGTCCCGGAACAGCTTCGTGCTCGTCCTCCGAGTTGTCCATGCATGTCTCCTCCGGGTTCTGGAAAGTTGCCTTTCTTTTTTTGGTGTCCTTCATCTTCATTGTCCGTAGTTTCTGAAGTTCCGAGAAAGAACTCATGCAAATGTGCAAATCGACTTCCTCCTTCAGACCCTGCTCGTCCGATTGTTCCCAACGTGGCCAGAGAATCTCAAAGACCTTGTTCTTGAACGTCGACACACTTCCAGACAAGAAATTCCTAGACTGGTGACCACCGAGGAAATCCACTATCCAACGCATGTGCCAGAAACAACGTGCCTGGGTCAACTTTGTCCGTTCTGTCGTGTACTGGTAACATTCCCCCTGGAGGTGTCCCTGCACTCCACAAGGAAGGGAGAATGCCACTGTCCGACGATCACTTCCTTGGAATCCGAGCTGTCCTGCATGAGTACTAGGAGTCGAACCACTGCCAGCAGCAGTGGTTGGTGTGTCCATTGGGTCCAGATCTTTGTCCAGTCGTATTGGGGAGGCCGGTGAGTCTAAAATATCTTTATTCATACTCCTATGGCCAATGGCTTTTAGTTGCAAACCAGAACGAATATCCAACTAACTAACCAACTAGCTCCATGTGCGCATTTAGGCTGAGGCATGGTTCTTCGTAAACCACGCAATTCTGTGGAAATGCTTTGGCTCAGCTGCAGTGAGAAGACCGAAGGCAAATCTGCATGTCCCGAGAAAACACCAAACTTCAACTACTGGCATCTCATGTACTCACGAAGAAACAAATCAAAGTCCAAGCACGCAAGAGTGACACGAGACAGCATAGCACCAGCTCATGGTCTACAAACTGCAGCATGACGTGGTGTCCAGAGGCTTCAGAAACAAATCCACAGACACTCTTTTTTAGCTGCTACCCCACAGCGCTTCAAATCACTGCCGGCTGTACGGCCCCAAGTCTGTCCAATGCACTCGACGCATGCCCTTCTGCTGCTCGCGCTTTACGGCGAAGCTAAGGAAGGAAAATACACATGCCCAGGGGAGTGCTATGGACAGAACGACGAGTACATGTGTACAATCAAAATCAAAAGATAATCCAGGACTATCCTGAGGGGGTGTACGACGAGTGAACGTAGAGTCATGCACCTTGTGCAGATGAACGTCCACTGACTTGTTGTCCTGCGTCGGGTGCAATTGTGTCTGCATCGGTCGGCAGGTCATAGGTCCACTTGTCAGCAAATTTAGGAAACATTGGGAAGAAACTGGCACACTCGAAATGGAACACTGAACTAGTTTGTCCGTCGGAAACTATACAGTCGGGGGCAAAAGGATCACTCAGCCTCCATTCCTGTCCATCGGGTAGGCGAGGAAGTACATGTTCGAGATCACATTCGCCACCAGCTTTGAAGTCCTGCGAGAGTTCATTCCTGTCGCCCAAGGCAAAACAGTGGTTTTTCAAGGAGTTGCCGTCGAGTGACCAAAGCTGCAGTGTCTCCCGAGAGTTGCCCAAGGACTCCTGCGAGTTGAGAGCTGCTGCCCAGTTTCTTTTGAGGGTCTCCTTGATGCGGGTCCTCGCTAACTTCTCCAACGTGGTTTGGAAGCGAATGTCCGGCCGGTTTGGCAAAGGAGTCTGAGCAGACACCCAAAACTGTCCGGCGAAAAGTGTTCGAACGAAGGTGTCGTCCTGCGCGATGTTCTCCGACAGCTCCACACCTGTTGCTTGGAGCATCAACAGGCACATGTCCAGGGGGAGTTGTGCCAGCTTCGTACACCTGCCCTTCCACCTCAGTCCAGCCAGTGTGTCCTTCGTGGCCACCTCCTTGAGGAGTCCGTTGAGTGATCCAGAACGGATCAGACCGGCGAGTGGCGAAATCCACAGTGGGTTCTGGTTGAGTGTGTCCTGAATGAAACGCATGTCCACATCGAGTATGGTGCTCTTCGAGTTCTGAACGGCGACATTGAACGTCGCTTCGTTCCTCTCCCGCTGCTTCTTCTCCTTCGCAGCCTGCTTCTGGACCTGCTTCGCCGTTGGCTTTCGCGGTCCAGCTGAGCGCGCCATGGCTGCGTCCCTCGAGGATAGTCCGAGGGGTGAAGAAGCAGAGGAGTGTGCACGACGAGTGTGCACGACGTGTGGAGCAAGCTGGCTGTTCAGAAGCATGAACTTGGATGTCTTCTGCAATGGAATGAAGATTGCTTCTTTGACTCTAGTTACAGAAATCCCAGCAACTTGGAAGAGCCAGGCTGCAAGAGTCTCCAGCCGGCCTTCTGCACATTCCTCTGGATCAG